CGTCGATACTTAATTAGATATTTCCTTCTATACTTTTTAGCACGTAGCTATTTATTATTAGCATTATTCTTCCGACATCTGATTTCTTTTTAATTATAGGAAATGCGTTTTTCTAAGGTACATAAACTTTTCGGATTGAGCGTATAGCCAATACGTCCTTAAGGTTGATAAGCTCATAATGCGCTCTTTTTAAAGAGAATATATATATGTATCGAATGATTATCTCGATTCACTTTTCTTTAAGGATAAGGAGTTGCGCAAAGATAAAGTGTAGAATTAAATAGACAGGGATAGAAATTGAGACACATTTTTACGCACAATTTTATTTTCAAACAACGATTGCGAGGAAGGAATATTTATATTAAAAGTGCGAGCGCTGCATTAAAATACCGCAACGCGTTCTTGAAATAGGACACCGAATGATCGATCAGTTTATTCTCCAATAAATAAACTGTAGACCTCTCCTCTGCTCTGATCCGAGTTTCACACGAAACCGCTATCGCTATTCTATTTTAATATACAGTAAGTATATGACGGAAAACTGAGTACAGTGAGACAACTATGTATTTATATATGTACAGAAAACTTGAATAGCATCGCTAAAAGAAATCTAAAAAGAATTTTCTTTCATCCATAATAGAGATTTTATTAATTCGATTGAAATAAATTATTACCCAGTGTAAAGTTTCAATGATTTCGTTGGAACACCGATGTGCATGAAAGGTAGTCGAGCGGAGCGGTCAGACGTCGTATATAGTTACATTGTACTTTCATTTTTAACACAGGAGTCATACAAGTATGAAGTAGCGTAATCAGAAATCGGCAGCATTGCTAAGATGGTTCATAACGACGAGAAGCAATCAACTCCCGGAGGTTCCACTCACGCGAACCTGGATACAACTGAAGAGATCAAGGTCAGCGTGGACGAGAGCATCGTTTCCCCGACGGCGATGTCCTCGCCGTCGGACTCACGGATTCCGCGACCCTCGCCCACCGGTCTGTGCCGCTCGGCGAGCTTCCGCATGCGCGGCGAACGATTCCCATCGAATCCTTACCACCCCCAATCGGCCAGTACCGCGGTCACCGCGGCTCCGGCGAGAACATCCTGCCGACGTTCGAACCATCTACACCGTCACCTAGACCATTGCGCCTTTCCGGTCATCACGGAGAATGGAACTGAATCGCCCCGTCAACGATCCCTCGTGAGTTCCTTTCTGCACGAGTTCACGGTTCAAGAAACTATTTACAAACGTGGACGAAACGTGTTGAACACTGCCTCTTGTATATATGTAGATACGCGATACTACGTCGTACTCTTCCGCTCGATGCAGTCGCAGATGCGTTCTAAGATCGCATATTATCGACTATACTTTCAGGCTAGCATAAAAGAATGCCCGTACGTAAAATCTATCTTCTCACGACAGGATAGAAACACAATAGAAGTTTACAATATTCAATGAATACAGTCACTACCTCGTACTGTTCTTCGGCAAATAAAAATGAATTAACAATGAACTACATTAAAAAAATCGATATTGCTATACTTAAGATATCCTACGCACGTTCCTCCGATTAAAAGAACAGGAGTACTTTAATTACGCATTCAATATGCGCATAATTAAATTTGTTCATTTTTGTATTGAGAAATGCAGAAGTAATTGATCATCCATGAAATCCATTGAATATCCATGCACTTTTCAGAGCCTTTCATTGACCCCGGCGAGGCCGCGACCAGGACTCGCGGCCTCCGGAGGATCAAACAGCAACGTGATCACGGACGACAGCGACGTGGACAGCGTGAAGAGCTACGGAAGCGCCTGTAGCACGGCTAGCGCGTGTGAGCATGCGACGTTTGCTTTGAACGGGACCACGTGGTCCGGGAGGTCCAGAAAGTATGTTGTTCACTGCTCGAATCATACCGAGAGCGAACAGTATCTGACGCCTACTCAAAGAGCGGCTAGACAAGTCAGGAAGTTTCAAGTAAGAAGAAATCGTTTATAGTATGAGTTGTACGACTGATCGTCGTTGGCAGACTGGGAATCGGAGATTGAGACGGCATTGTTTACAGGCTCTGTTAAAGGAGGCGCGGAAGGAGATAGAAGAGAAGGACCGTGAGATCTTTCGCCTGACAAAGGAGGTAGTGGAATTAAGATTATACAAAGCATCCTTGAACAGTCCCGACGAGAGAACGGATAGCAGCGATGCTCTCACGATACGCGAGAACAATCCTTTCTCTCCCGAGTCTCCCAGCAAAGATTTGCCCGATGAAGGACCGACGTTGGCAGCGGAGAAGGTTACCAGCCCGGAGACGCCGGAGAAACGGTCCGAGCTGCCTTCGTCTTTGGCTGACTCGGGCCACTTCGAAGACGGTTCCGTCCATTCGAAAGATTCCGTGCATGTGTACATTACGGAGCAAACTACCCCTAATATAACTATAACTTCCACGCCTAGCAAAATAGAAGAAGACAATGTCGCGGAAACGTTCTCAAGGTCTGAAGAGGAAGCGGAAAGAGACGAGGAGAAACGGATCAGGAGACTGACTAATCTTTACGAGAGTAGAATCGAGGAGATGCACCGCCGGCACGTCGACGAGATCCAAGAATTGAAACAGAAGCATAACGATAAGGTTCGTAGTGATAGAAGCCTATGTACGTTCTATGATTTTCATTCTATGATGTTCATTTATTAATTATTTATCGAAGGTGGAAAGCTTGCTGAACCATTTGGCCGAGGTGAACACGCGTTACTGCGAGGTTCGGCCAGCTGTCGACGCCGCGGAAGCTAAGGCTCGCGAACTAGAAACGGAGTTAGAAACGGTGAAAGCTGAGTTAAACGAGCAGAAGGCGTTGGTGAACGAGCAGGAGGAGAGGAACAAACAGATGTACCTGAAAATGTATGCCAAAGGCCAAGAAGCGGCTCGTATAGAACAGGCTGATCAGGTATTCATTTCTCATTTGAGTAAACCAACTTTGTTTCATACGACTGTTTTATACGATCGCAGATAATGCAATGCGCGCAACAGACACCGCCCAAAGTCACCGTAGCTGAATTACTTCAACAGTTAACTATCACTCAGGCGGAATTAGAAAACATCAAGGTAATCATGTTGATATTTTCTAGTTAGAACTGGATCGTTGTTACACCAGGCTAACGAGTTTTACGACCCAGTAAACTCCAGATATTTTTTTGATGGTCGATTTATATCGTTTTTTTATCGCAAACAGTTGTAACGTTACGAATAAATGAACGATACGCGTATACGTGTCAGACGCATATAGCAATCCACGTAGCTGGATTTTGTTCCGAGTTTCTCGAGTTTTTACTGACTAACGTGCCGCTATTTTTCGATTGGTCGCCGCATACGCTTGCTCCAGGACACGAGCTACTCGCCCGAACCCCACATTTCGGCCGAACGTGGCCAAACTTTATTAAGCGCTCAGGAGGCTGTTTCTCTCTGGGTTCTTGGCACGCGCAAGGTCTGTATTCACAGTCGAACAGTTCATAACAAAAATTACCCCCGTCCTCTTAGATTTTTATTCAGAGATAAAACTTTGCTTCTGGTTTTTGCATTTTATTACTTTCGGGAAGGGTCATTTTCGTTATGCAGCCCGCAATCAATGTCCACGTGATGCAATTCCTTTATTCAACACAATTTTTTTCTTTTGTATCAGCATTTAGTTAATTTCTTCGTGAATCCCCTGTATAAAATTCAATTTTTTTTAAGGCATGAACGAATAAATACGTGTAACAACGTTAGATGAATGGGTAAACGAGAAGGATTTGTTTCACGTGAATTCTGCTCAAATTAATGTGTAATCTAGCAAAAGAATTTATTTCTTAAGACAGTGCTTCGCCACAGCGAATTGCATGCCGGAATTATTTTTCAGCACACGAGAGTTTGTAGTTGATTAATGTTCGACGATAGATGAAAGAAACAGCCTCTTATCATTTATTTCAGTTATGCGTTCATTTAATTATAAGTTTGCACGTGCTTAAGCCTCACTATTATTGTTATATCGTTATTTACACTATTGTATATATTGTATAATCATATTTCAATCATTAGATTCAGAGAGAACGGAAGACTTGTAGGTAGAAACGTGTACAAGGCTGCACGATCGAACGTGTCAAGTTGTTTAATTGATAGTTGAATATAATTTGTTTAAAAGGCGATGTATCGACGGATATTAGAAGCCAGAAACAATCAAGGATCCCTGGACCCGGTGATCACGCTGCAGTTCCTAAAATCGGCCGTCTACTATTTTCTAACGGACAAAGAGAATCATCAAGGCCACTTGAACGCTATAGAGAGCATTCTGGGTTTTACGGAAATCGAGAAACACAACATCGACAAGGTATATCGGACTGCGAGGAAGTAACATAAGTTTCTCAATTGTTATCCTTGTTAGACTGCAATTTTTTTATGCTGTTCAAGTTTTTATAAGTACGACCCAATTTGTGTTTCTACTTCTTAAATACTGTGAGACTATTTATATACACTGTATATCATGAATACCATTTTTTTCATATAATTTTACGAGTTAAAAGATGATCCACTATGTGAACTACTGAACGTTTTTATTATTAACGTGTTAGCGACTTGCATTCATTCTATTTTTTCATGAACGCATAAAAGTCCGCAGTCTAATTATTATGTCACGTATACAGTACCGGCTTCCGCCAAACTTATTTTCCGCGAATCCGAGAACATATTTAATTAGACGAATGTACAAAATGTTTTTTACATCATTTGATACTGGGTGATATTGTTTTGAAATTGTACACTCTCTGTATATTCACAGGGTACAGTATATCGCATGCGTATTTATTTTTTATACGGTAACAAATTTAGTAGACAGATTTTAATCAAAATCGGTTGTGGATTCATTCTGTTTCTTAATCAAACGATGAGAGGGTAAATCGTAGTTTTTAAATGCATAGAAAAATTTCAATTGAATGGTTATTGTAGTCGTTTAGGTGACAGGCATGTATGTACATATATGTACATTTGCTTTAAATGTAATTATGTACATATTACATTTGTTTAAATATTGAATTTAGAAGCGAGGGTATATGGCGTCCAGTTAAAGGAAACAAAAAGGAGACTGAGGGAAATGTATATCTTGCCTTTTTATCTGCCTATTTATTTAATATTTTATCGATAGGTACACTACTCTAGAACAAAGTATTATCGTGCGACTACTTAATAATCGAGCAAAGATTAGATCAATTCTAATAATCATAAACGCTAGAACAACCGAAGTTACGAAATCGACAGATCTATTGCCGGTCTTTAATCAGATTGATTATCGAAACGTTCGTTTGCCTCCGTAATATTTACACTTTAACTTGCATGTGAATAATTATAACTGAACTATGTAAATATCAAAGAAACCGACATATATATATAAACGTATCAGATGCTTATCGAAATGATTAAAAAATCGCGGTTGTTCTAATGTTGAAAGAATGAGCACACATTCCTGTTATACTATTCTAGTATCACGTTTTTAAAATAAAATTCTATTTAATCTATATATTTAGGTGAAAACCAAAGATAAAGAGAAAAAATCGTATAAAAAAGATTATCAAATGCAATTTACGACTTTGCTATATCGCTATAGCGTTGAGCTAATTTACTTATTGAAGAATATCACGTTTCGGAGAAATTTCATTCTACGACCGCACATTCTTCGATTAGATATTCAATAAATATACATATATCAGAGATCGAGAAGTGAATAGTTAAAATTATTATATTTCATTTAAGTTCCTACAGTTTACAATCTTTTGTGATTCAATGTTCAAATCTTGAATATATTTTAAACATATCTCTAAAGTTCCTTTCTTATAGTTGGAAAGTAAGCCTAAATTTTTCAACAGTAACTTATTATTTCATTGATCATTCTGTAAACCAGCATTTAAATAAATAGAAACAATGGAAAGTAAATAGAAACCTTGTATATAGGCTAAATGAAAGAAAAACACAGGGCCTTTTCTATTTTCACGTTTACACAGTTTACTGTATATGTTTTTCACAAGCAAACCTCTATACCCTCTATTGTATCAAGCGAAACTAAATGTTTAAACGAATTAAACAACAAGTCGAATGGATTATCATGAATGTGTCAAAATATATTCTACTTATATGTTTAATGCCTCTGGTGATAAAATAATGGTTATTATTAATAAAAATCTGCAATATTTTAAATGGAATAAATCAATTCTCTTTCCCACCATATCGTTTTCATATAAGAATATAGGACAATAGAGATTTTAGGTATGTTTTATTGAAACGGTCTTATGGTTCGGTTTTTAAAAACTTTATGAAAGAAACTCACGTAAGATACAAAACACTTGTACGTTACTTCTTTCCGGCTATAATGATACCGTCATACTTTTGCTGGAACCATTTCATCGCGTCCTCTTTGGTTAATCTATGTTGGAAACCCACTTTGCCCGTTTTCCTTCTCCTGTGTGCCACGTTGAAACCTTCGCAAAACAAAGAAACATCTTCATTAATCTTTTTTCAAATACCCCGAGTACCGTTAAGTGTTGACAACAAAAATTGTCGCTCCAATTAAGTAACACATCCAGTACAAGGAAGTGGACATGAGTTGCAAACATGAAGCTTTGCTCTAGCACATGTTAATAATTATAGGTACGACTTATCACGGAGTGGTAACTATGATACCAGTGAATGTGCAGATTTTCTATTTGAAGAAATTGAAACTGTTACGAACCTGGTCTGCCAAGTACAACGTAGAAGTCCAAACCGTAAATACCGATACTTGGATCGTATTTAATTCCCAAATCGATGTGTTCTTGTATACCAAAACCAAAGTTTCCAGTACCAGAGAAATTCTCTTTTCTCAGTTCGTATTCACGAACCTTGAAAATGAAAAGCATTATTAAAAAATATCCTTTACTACAGGCTCATGTATCAAAATTGACTGAAGTAACTTTTTACTTTTAATCCACGTTCGAGAATCTCCTCAGCTTTAGCGCCTCGGACAGTGCAGTGCACTGCAATCTTTTCATTACGGCGAATACCAAAGGAACGAACGGTATATCTAGCTTTAGAGAAGACTGGTTGCTGTCCAGTTAATTGCTCTAATACCTATGATGAAAACAGATCGCGATTATTAGATTGCTTAATCGTTTCAATGTAACTGATAAAGATTCTATTAGTAATTACCTTTGCGGCTCGGGTTAGTCTATCGCCAGACTCCCCGACGCAAATGTTTAAACAGAGTTTGCGAATCCTAACTTCGCGCATCACATTCTTGGACGCATCCTTCGGCTCTTTCCTCACTTTCTTCTCGGGCCTCTTCTTCTCCACCTTCTTTTCCACCTTCTTCTCTTCAGGTTTACTTTCCTACGATTAGCAACACGAGTCCTTTCAATCATATCGTCTTTATTAGACATTTGTTAATAAGATTACTCGACGATGCACACGCGACTCTCTTGACACTGTCACACTTAAAACTTTAGACAAATATCAAGATATTATTAAAAAAGAAACATACGGGTGATAAATTGATAGATTTTATTTATCAGCAATATATGAACGATTCTTAATTGAAGCTGGATGTTTCTGATATTTAGGGATTAATGCATTTGTTTTCGTGAAAGAATCCACACTCACCGCCATGTCGAATGTAAAAGAACGGAACGTAGTCGCTATCGAAGGCAATGGACGGACTCGGAGGACGATGCGTGAAGGTGGCGTCTTATCGACGAAAGGGTGGATTTTCAAAGACTACAGAGGTGCCATCTGTTGTCGCACCCGTTCCGTCTTTAGACGAAGTCCACTCTACTATTACGTAACAAGTCCACGCTTTTAGGAAGAATTACTAGGAATTTGAAGACTTCAAGTTGAAGTTCCTCCATAACCATCCATAACCTCTAAAGTGGCTCGTCTAGCAGCCAGTAAACCCGTGGTGATAGTTTAGCTTGGTCGCGCGCCGCGAATAATCGTGTGGATGCACGCACGCACGAGCGTGACAAACGCGTTATTTGTCGTTCGTTGGTGATTGTGTGAAAATAAATAAACAGAAGATTTGAACAGGGTCAGAGTGGTGACCAGAGCAAACGAGGAGGCTCGTCGTCCGTAGGAATGGCTTCGCCTAACAAGAAGGCCAAGGAGCTGGAGGATCCAGGCTCGGGCGAGGGCGTCGAGTCGTCCCGCGACTACGACGTCGAGATACAGAAAACACTCGAGGAGATCGATGGCTGTCAGAATCAGATCGACGGTTTGAACGAGAAGGCCAGCGACGAGATCCTCGAGGTCGAGAAGAAGTACAACAAGTTGCGTAAGCCGTACTTCCAGAAACGGAACGACATCATCAAGAGGATACCTAACTTTTGGGTCACCGCTGTATCCTTTCTCGAATAAAGTTTAACCGGCAACGAACGGTGAAACTGTTTGGAACAAATCTCCTTCTGACGTTTCACAACGATGCCGGCGTCCACCGGCGCTAGCCGCCATCTTCCTCAGTTCTGTATACCTACACTTGCAGAATTGTGCGCGTGTACACACACGCAGCCACGCGGTGTCCAAATTAGACAAATTTTTGTCTGACATTAACAATGCACCTCCACCTTGTACAGGATTTTGGATTTTATGCTTCACTATGTTTTCATATCACATATTTATTATATTCATATTATATATAAACCCTGTTTTGCTTGAGAGCTTGTTGAAAACAATACCTTTGTTTATCTCAGATCCTTTCATTTTTGTACGATGTAAAAGAAGTTTGATCAATTTCCTTAACGTGTACATGTATACAGTTTGTAAACAATAAAGAGATAGCAGAAATATTGGAGGAGGATGAAGAGGATGCACTACGTTTTTTAAATAAATTGGAGGTAGAGGAGTTCGAGGATATAAAATCTGGTTATAGGATTAATTTTCACTTTGACGAGAACCCGTATTTTGAGAACGACGTTCTGACCAAGGAGTTTCACTTAGGTTCTTCTGGTGAGCGCATTTTCATTTATTAAATGTCTGTGTTTATCTTTAAACTAACCATCTCGAAGTTGCGTACACAGTTGAAATACATCGCTACGAGAAAATAATTTTTTTGATTAGAACCCAGTGGACTTTTCGTGGAACAATTGTTGTTTTGATGTTGCTCCTGCTCTCATTGCAGGAGACCCAGCGTCCCAAAGCACGCCCATACGTTGGAAAGAGGGCGGAGATTTAACAAAACGAGCAAAGACCAAAGCACCGTTGAAGGGTCGCAAGAGGCCGTTGAAGCACAGATCGTTCTTCGACTGGTTCACGGATCATGGCGATCCCAGCTCGGATGAGATCGCAGAACTGATCAAAGACGATATGTGGCCTAATCCCTTACAGGTAAGACTGGGACTCCAGGACTGGAGATGTTTCAAGGAACTTACGATCCCTTTAGTTGTTTCATTGTTGAAAACGAGAACCGTTTTCAGTATTATTTAGCACCAGACATGGACGTGGAGAATGGTATTGAAGGAGATGGTGAGGACTGTGACACGGAGGAGGACGAAGAAGAGGAAGATGGCGGCGGAGACGAGGGAGATGAAGCTGGTGAAGGAGAGGAAGGTGATGATAGTATAGTCGTCGTCGAGGACGATGTAGACGAGGACGAAGAAGAAGAGGAGGCTGTGAACGACGAGGACGACGGTGTGAACGAGGAGGACGATCTTCTGGTCGACGACGAAGTGGATCGCGAAGGTATTTTCTATTTTCAAATAGGTCCGATTATACAACTGTTGTAAATAATTTTTAATGTACAATAAAATCGAGCCTCGTATGATTGATTCGATTATTTCGCTTTGTTTGACAGATGGTGACGGAGAGGAACCAGAATAGAATTGAGAAATAATTTTTACACAAGCTCGGTTACACACAGTCTCATAGACATTGAACAAGGAAGACCGAAAATACACATCAGATTAATCGAAAAATAGATGAAGTTCGCGGGAGTGAAAGATAATCGTGAGCCATATGAATAAAAAATCCAGCTCGGGGCAACTTCGAAGAACTAGAGAGTTTTTTAACCAGTGGCACCGCGAGGAAGTGTTGTTTTGTATAAAAAGAAAGGAAATGGAAATTCGTGCCGTAACGAGGATGGGTTGACAATGACAAACAGTGGTTGACAATGAGAAAGAGCCGTGGTCCTATTTAAATAATGCTCGGCCGCAGGTCGATTATTTTAGAATCCATTGAATCTTCGAGTTTATATTATATATTCCAATGTACCAATCCTCTGCAAAAGGTTCGTCGGTCAAACGTAATGTACATTTAACGATTTGATAATTCTTTTCGTTGTATTCATATGGCCTAGTCACGTTTCCTGTAATGGCATTAAATGTCGAACAAAAGCATTGGCAGTTGACAAAGTCGTTTACGAATGATTACAAGAACGCTTCTTGTTTTCAGTATCACACATTTCATTTTTATTTAGGAACATCTTAAAAGCTCTGCCTGTGCCAGTACTTCTGTTCTTTGAACGAGTTACGATTGTTTTAAGTAAAATCGTCTACGGGCAACTTTTGTTCCGATATTGTAGGTATATTTTATTATGTATGTACGGAGTAACCTATTTCAACTATTAATCTGAAAAACTATTTGGCATTGTTTTTAAGACGAACGTCGCCTCATTATATGAATTTTGTCTGGAACATAATCGTTTTAAATTATATTACTTTGTATCTTCAAATGGGACATCCTGTATAACAAACGAGCTGCGTTTCAGGTATTTTGTAGCTTTTATCATTGTCTCATTAAGATAATTTAATTGAAGTGTAAATGATCACGGCTCGCAGTGAATTTTCGTTACTATTAGTGTCATCATTATTGTACAATGACTACAAAGAGTATTTGAATAACGTTATACACATTAGCAAAAGTTTTGATAGGCTACATTGTTTTATTATATTCGTACTACTCAATTATAAGTACAGTTATCCTTTGTGTTTAATAGAACCCGTTCAATTATATTTTTCTATTATTTATTCGGTTTTATATAAATAAAGTATAGAATGTGAAACAAATACTTTTCTTGTAGCCATTGAAGGCAGAGGGAAACAGAGAAGCAAAGACTATTTTATACATAATATGTGTTTCACAGTAATTTAATTTAGCCGTAAGGAAATCAAGTATATGAATTCAGATTCTCGATTAACTCAACTTGTATAAAAGCATCTAAAATCCGAAACGCAATTCATGATAACTGTTTTAGAACTGCTTTCTCTTTAATAACAATTACGTTATTTACACTATGTAACATAACAGGTTTGTATGTTACTTAGCATTAGGGCTCAGAATAATGTTTTTAAAATTATGCAAATCTTATTGTCCTCTTTTAAACTATGTATATTTTGTCATAGGGCAATTTTAATCATGTCTTTTAAGTACGGACATCATATTATACTTTTTTAGTGATATTACACGCTATAAAATAAATTTCATTATTATTGTCGTAACATTAATGTTTACATTAATTGTGGAAGGCCACGACGTGAATGCGAAGAGGCGAATTTCCCAGAGAAAATTATGTGTATATCAGATCAGAGGATTGTGCGAACGCGTTTTTCTAAGTACATTAAATTATACCAAATTACGATTTACAATCTATCATTTAATTGACTCATCCTGCAAAATTCTTTAATCCAACCTTCCAATCCTTTTTATGATGTCCCTGTTTCTTACTTTGCAAAAGTAACAATTAATCGAATTTAGCGAAGTAGGGAGGCATCCGAGGAGAAAATTAAATTCAGAATTCCATCTACGTAATAAAGGAAGGAAGAACGTTATAAAAAGGGAAGTATATACATATATGTGTAGTGATGTGACGAAGAAAGAAGGAAGTTATTCGGTTAATTAATGAATGAATGAATGAAGGGCAACGTGGATCCTTCTCGAGGGTGGCACGGAAATCGAGGTCTCAACAAAGCGTTCACTGTCCGCGGAACGCTCGCCGATACAAAAAAATTGAACGACCTTATTCCAGTTGGGAGCACATGCCGCGGAAGGAATCAACGGAGTTACACTTAATTAATCGGATATTCCGAACTATATGAACAATTTAGACGTTTTCAAATGGATCAGCTTATATCAGTTCGGAATACACACCAATTGAATGGCGTACTTAGCTTTTCAATAGATAAACTGATGTATTCACTACACGAATGATAGATCTGATTAAACTTTTAATTTGATCAATATAATTAAATAATTGTTTGCGCTATTAAAATTGACTAAGAGTAACTATTTTCTCATGGGAAATGCTCTCGTCGTACCAGTAGAAATTATTTACAATTCTCCCGGGTACAGTGTCAGTGCTTGTGACAAGCCACATGTTGCCAGAGGAGAAGGCAAAAAAGGAGCCACTTCGGATTCAACGACAAGCATATGCAGACGATGTTGGTGGCAAAATATGTTGAACTTTTTTATAACAAGACACTCTGTGACACGCGTGTGGCGGAGTAGCGCGTGTCACGGTCACAGCCATTCATTGTCAAGTCAAGCGTATCGACATAAACCAGAATCTCGCAATTTTTATTGCATAAATAATGTATGTTCAAAGGTCTCTTCCTTCCTTTTCACTCCCTGCCGCCTGACCGCCTGTCTGTTACAAAAATATAAATAAACAAACATATCGGCTATTATTCAATTGAATTAATGTGAAGTTATCTGCTAGTAGCATTGGCCAGTGAACTTTTTTTACGAATTCAGTTTCGCGCCAATTTCCCACACTCTTTCAGTCGCCATCTGTGTCTGTGAAACGCGCGACGCGCGTGTCTAACGAGATGAAGGAGAGGAGAATTTGAGAAATGAAAACAGAAGAGCAGAACGGAATAAGTATGCGTCGCGTTCAAGCTTTAATTCACGCTCGGCGCTCGAGCGGTGCGCACCAAGAAAAGGAGAGGGTCTTTACGAAATCTTTTGTGAAAAAGATATTCCTTCAAGGATCAAGGATCTCAAAAGTGATTTCTGAGAAACGATAGAATACGATTGTGCGAAGGATCCGAGTTATACGAGGGTTCAGTATTTCTTTTGAGGAAAAGATGAACGTTTTACGCGGGATGTTCTTCGTTTGGTTTTTCATTCACATGGTATTCTCTGGCCAAAATCCAGGTAATGCTCAACAATATATTTTACTCTCTGTATATTCTTATACAATTTTTTACATCATACATTCGTTAATATTCTGCACATAAGTTGCTAGAAAATTACATACAATGTGACTGGCGTATCTGAAATAAAAATGTGTGTCGCAGAGAAATTGCATTCTTAGAATCGTTTTAATTGAAGCTGATGAGAGGTACTTCTAATCGCTGTACAAACTGTTTTAATAACTATCGTTATGCGACGTTCGCGGAATCATTTAATTATGCACATAAATAATAAATAAAAAACGACGTGATAGACGTGTGCGACCTATGAACAAATCGAACGTACACTATACGATCAAACGTACGTAGTTTCCAAATCCGTCTTATCTCAGAATGAATTGCGATTTCCCTTGCAACTAACTAAATAAACAATGCATCCTTTGATTTATTACGGTCTCTATTTAAACACTGCGATACGGAAACATTTTCCACAGAGTACAATTGATTAATCTTGCTCATTTTCGAATGAACCGAGACTGCTTGTAAATTTTGATGTCGCATTTTTGGGCAGGTGCGGAGGCCAGAATGGAAGAACGTTTTGAGAAATGTTGCGGCTTGGGCACCTCGTGGGCCTTGGAGGGACTCGGTTGCGAGAAATTCACCGGGCCTGTTCCAGGAGTGCCTCAGCTGGAGCAAGGACTCTGTTTAGAAGCTGTAGATATCTGCTGCGTGAGGACGTACCACGAACAGCAATGCAAGAAGGGAAAAGCGGACGCCCGTGCCGGCGCCGCCTGCGTCACTGCTACTTCTGTAAAAAGTAGAAGACTGGCCGGTCCCGGGGACTATCATCGCGACTGCTGCGAAGCCTGTAAATTAGGTGATTCGTCGAATGCCGATTTACCATTCAATTCATTCTTTAGTTCAATTAATCATATGATGTGATTATTAAGGAATTCTGACCGGATCTATGGGTCAGGGATGTGCCTTTAAAAAATTCACGTTTGGAAATCCTTGGGACCCGGCGTTCCTCGAATGTTGCCACGAGGCTTCGCCGAGTACTACTACGAACTTCCCTACGAACGCATCGTCACCGGTAAACGAGACAACGGATACAGAATCGAGTACGACGAATTCGTCAGATACGTCGTTCTCTCCAATGATACCCACACCCCGTTAGTAACGCGTATACCGTATTAATATTTATTTTACAATTACGTGTAGTTAATGTTTCGCTAATAATTAATTTACAGCGTTGGACGACATTTGTCAGCTAATGAGAGGCTTGCTTTGTTCGGATATTTGCGTTCCCACGCCTGGCTCTTATTATTGCAAATGTCGCGACGGTTTTACCCTTCTGGAAGACGGCAAAACCTGTAGCCAAGATTTACCCACGGATAGGTAGTTAAAAACACTTTCCTCTCGCTTTCTTCAATATTAAGACTTATTGTTTTCTTAGATGCAAGTCGAGCAATCCTTGCGAGCAACGTTGCACGGACAACGGAGTCGCCGTCACGTGCAGTTGCGATCCCGGTTACGTTCTAGCGGACGATGCACGTTCCTGCATTCTGAAATCGACGGAGATGAGAACGACCGTTCCAGATTCCGACGATTTCTCGCCTGTTTGCCCCGTGGGCTACCGCTACAACGCCGGCAGCCAGGTTTGCGACGGTAAATATTATCACACGAACCATTTCGATAATACAAAATGCATTTGCATAAAGTGCATTTACAAAACGAGTCACTCTACGTTAGCTTTGTACGTTTTTCTTCGTATGTGATTTTGCACCGCAACTTCGCTTATCTATAATACACGTTCGTCTCGTTTCGCATTGCGTGGTGTTGTGCCCTTCGTTGCTTAGACGTAAACGAGTGCACAGAGAAAGAATCGCTGTGCCCCGATAGCTGTGTGAACACCGTCGGCTCTTATTTATGTCAGACGAAGGATAATCTGAAGCTTGCTTACGAGGACTGCCCGCCTGGATATCAATGGGAGCCCGCTGCTGGTCTTTGTACAGGTAACAATTCCATCCGTTATTTTTTACGATCAATTCACGACCAGCTAACACGGTATAATTTCAGATGTTGACGAGTGCGTTATATTATCGGAACCGTGTCCGGTGAGCAGAAATTTCTGCGTGAACACGCAGGGTAGTTTCAGTTGCCTTAAGATGCCAGGAATTAAGTCTTGTCCGGCCGGATTCAAGTTCGATAATCTGTCGCAGCAATGCGAAGGTGCACGATAAAGACGGTTAAAGAAGCGAGACTGTATTTGGTTAATTGCTAAATTAATTTCGTTTATTCCTTAGATGTGAACGAGTGCGAGGAACAGATCGACAGTTGCGTAAATGCCACAGAGACATGTCGCAACACCGAAGGCGCTTACGAATGCGACATAAAATGCGAACAAGGATTCGTATATAATGCGAATCTGGCCGCGTGTATAGGTAACGATGCTATTTTAATGAACATTTACGTTGATACAGAAGACAAATGATCGATTATCGTTCAGGTGATCAAATCGAGTCTACGGAATCCTGTGAGCGTGGCTACAAGAAGAACCCAAGCACAAACAAGTGCGTGGATATTAACGAGTGTCTGGTAGGACCTGGTTGCCGCGATCACGAGAAATGCCTGAACACTCCTGGGAGTTTCAGATGTTCTCCGCTGTGCACCAGTGGCTGGTACTATAATCCCGCAACGAAAGGTTGCCAGGACGTGGACGAGTGTCTCTTGGGACGACACTCGTGCCCGGATACGCACATGTGTGTGAACACGAACGGTTCCTTCGTTTGCGAACCGATACCACCTTGCGAGAACGGTTTCAAACGCGCTCAGGACGGAGCGTGTGTGGACATCGACGAGTGCTCAGAGAATTTGCACAACTGCCTGCTGGAGTTGCACCAGTACTGTGTAAACGGGAATGGGAGTTTTGAATGTATAACTAGATTGCCGGATTGTCAACCCGGTTACCAATACTCGTTAAAGGCGAGAGCATGCGAAGATGTGGACGAATGTGCCATTGGGAGATACAAGTGTGACTCTAGGCTGGAAGAAAAGTGTGTGAATCTACCTGGCTCGTATAAGTATGTATATGACAATTACTATTAGTATTTATCATAGTAAATATTAATGACTAATAATAATTGTTTGTCTTAATTCAGATGCGAGAGGCCCATGGCCATTCAGCAGGCACGTTCGAAGCCTGCTTGTCCTTCCGGTTTCAGATACCATCCCCGTTTTAGAAAGTGCACAGGTATTCATATCTCATCGTAATTATTAGATAAAATAATATAATTTCTTCGATCGAAATTTTTATCTAAATAACATCATTTATATACACTTTTCAGGATGGAATGGAAATTCTAGCGAAACGTATGAAGCTTTAATATCATACATTTAGATGTGTTTTGAAACAGCATGTCCTTTCGTTTGATTGTAGCTTATATTCTTTGAGACGCTTTACGTTTCCAAACGTTCGCATTATTTTTAATAGATACGTTAATTGCCTTTGCAATATTCATCTTCATTTATTCACGCTTGCATAAGCGTTTTCGAAAAACTTCTATGCATATAGCTATATGTTTAATAATTGTTTCAGACAACATACATTTCAACATTCGTTTCAACTATCAAAGTTTTCTTGCTAGCTGCATAATATCTTATTTATTTATCAGATATCGACGAATGCGCCGAGGGTTTGGATTCTTGTGGAACCGAGATTTGTTACAATCAACCTGGCGGATATAGTTGCTCGAAACCATTGAAACCGATTACCAGAAGGCCATTGACAACGACCACAACGCCGTTACCGTTACCAACGAATAAGAAATGTCCGCCCGGAACTAAATACGTAGCGAATCACTGCGTGGACGTGGACGAATGCCGGGAACTCGAAGACGCGTGCACCAGCAACGAAAATTGCATAAACACGATGGGGAGTTATGTTTGTGAATGCAGGATTGGTTTCAGGCGTGAGAATCTTACACAGGCTTGCGTTGACATCAACGAATGCCAAACGCAGGTGAATCTAACATCTGAAGTCTTCCATAAATTATTAGATGTTTCATACGTATTCATGAAAGATCCAACGGAATAGTATATTTATTTATTCTAATTATTTTGACACAGGCAGACAGTTGTTCCAACGGCCAGAGATGTGACAACACTATAGGCAGCTACACCTGTACTCGTTACCTGTCCTGCGGCACCGGATACACTCTGAACGCGGCCACTGAGATCTGTGAGGACGATGATGAGTGTCTCCTAGGTACTCACGACTGTGGGCCGGGGTATCACTGTAGAAATACGCTCGGTTCCTATCGGTGCGATCGGAACTCGCGTGTGCCTGTTCCTCTGCCTCGTCTAGCTCTTGTCACGACTTCAACCACCACCACCACTACTACTAGCACTACACTTGCCCCGGTTACTCAAGAACAGATTAATCAAACTGTGACACAGGTAGAACGATCTAAATGGTTGTTAAAATAGTTTGTAGAATAAAAACGTTTCACAGTCGCAGGTGTTCGGCTGCATTCGTGGCTTCGAGCCAAATTCCAATAACAAATGCGTGGACATCGACGAGTGTCAACGAAATCCTAACGCCTGCGGTAGAACCATGCGCTGTATGAACACAATAGGATCTTACAGATGCGTGTCTAAAGTGATATGCGGCATTGGATACACTCTGGACCCAGTCTCTGGGCAATATTGCGTGGACGTGGACGAATGTGCGAACGGCACTCACGAATGCGCTCCGAACCAGACTTGCGAGAATCGTATAGGTGGTTACGTTTGCATATGTCCATCTGGACACGTTCCCGGTCCCAACAGGGATTGCGTAGACATCGATGAATGCAGTTTATACGGGAACATCTGCGGTCTGAACAGCAAATGCGAAAATACCATAGGCTCTTATCGGTGCATCTGTGAAAATGGTTTTGAGAACGTGGGTAATTCACCCGGTGGCAGTTGCCAGGTGAGTCATCTTCGTTAAATCAATTTAAATTGATATGGCATCGTTATATCACGTTTAATATCCTTTTAGGACGTGGATGAATGCAAGATTACTCCTGGTCTGTGTCAGCACGCATGCTACAACGTGTGGGGCAGTTTCAGATGCGGTTGCAAGCCAGGGTTCCGTTTGAATGCGGACAACCGCTCGTGCACAGACGTCGACGAGTGTACCGAGTTCAAGGACAACAGGCTGTGCATCGGCATCTGCGAGAACACGCCCGGAAGCTATGCTTGCAAGTGCCCCGACGGTTACAAGCTCGGATTGAACGGACGCACCTGTGAAGGCAAGTGCTCTAATTGATTTAACAGAGCTTGCCCTCGTTATCTCTGATTCGTGTTTCCATGTGTACGTAATCCGTACTTGACCCAGTCGTCGAAAAACTGGGTTGTTACGTAGTCGAATATTGAATCTGACCTTGAAACTATTAAGCGCTATCGCGTATATAAATCATGATAGAGCTTGAAATTATGAAACTGTTTCCAGTAGTTTATTTAATACCACTATCCACTTCAGTGTAATTATAAAAACGCGTATATATGTATACATAGTTTAATTTTACTTTTATTTTCAAAGAAATCGACGAGTGCAAGGCAGTTAATCCCGTGTGCAGAGACCCAGACGAGATTTGTCACAATACTAGGGGCAGTTTCCGTTGCAACCGGATAAACTGTCCTCCGGGATACCATCGAGAGCACGAAAAAAAGAAGTAAGTGTTCTATGAAATATATCTTTGAACCGTTAATTAATTTATGAATTAATCAAATTGCAGCCGTTGCGTTAAAACTTATCCGTGCCTCATCGACGATCTCCCCTGTCGCCGTCAACCCTCCCACTACTCGTACAACTTCATCAGTCTGGTCAGTATGCTGCCCATCGCTCCAGGTAGACCAGAGGATTTGTTCAAGATGAAGGGATACCATAGCCCCGGTTCAACCATGCAGTTTACTATGGCATTGTTGGAAGCAAGAGCACCGGCCGGTGTGCAACGTGCCACGGAATCTTGTTTCACGTTAAGGAGGCCGGCACCTTTGCAGGCAGTCCTGGCAATGACACGGCCTATACAAGGTCCTCAGGAGATCGAATTGGAGTTGACCATGGAGATCTACCATGGTCCAATGTTCGCTGGGAGTGCAGTGGCCAAACTACTGATCTTCGTCTCTCAATACGAGTTTTAATTCAATGGAACTCCATTTCTTTTATTATCAAACGAAATTCAACTCGACAGAGATCGTTTACAATCGGTGATTAACTGTAAGTACGTGGACAAAGAATAAATAATGTTTATTATATACTATTTTCTAGGTGTAAGAACTTGTTTCCTTTATATTTATACTTGTATATTCGATATTAATGGAGTTCTAATGTAAATAGAAGACTGGTGGTTTTCTCGAAACTTAAGCTAAATAATAAAGTTACGTCTAGATCAAGGTACGTTTTAATTTCGTCCGATTTTTAATATAACCCTGTTTGATCTGTCCCTTGCGCTTATTTATTACAGCGTAACAAATTACGATAGTTAGTCAACTGAACAAACTTCTATCTCGTTTATGTGTAAGTATCCTAAAAAGTTTGATTGCGTAAAAGTCTGCTTATCGATAACGAACGAAACATTAGGGTTCGAGGTAACAAATAACGACCTCTTCGAAACAGTTTCTTGTTTCATCAACCAATCGTGTTGTCGTGCACCTCGACGAATTCCTTGGAGACTTGATAAACGTGGTACAGGCGTTCGTAGAGATCAGCGGTGCAACCGAGGTCGCGGATATCGTTCAACCAATAAGAGGAGGTCTTTCTACTTGTATCTATGTACGTGACCAAATAGCCTTTGTTAGGGGACTCTTGGGATACCACCAGTTTGGTGTGGTCCTCGAAGAAGTTCACTTGTAACAAAGGAACAGTAAGTTCCATGACAATGGTCTTGTCGGTTCTGAACCATCTTCGCATCCGAGGCACGCAAGAGTTCCTAGAGTTCCGCGTAGGCGCACGATGTCTTTTTATCTCGCCACCTGGAATAGTACAACGCTTTATACATAAACGAAAACAGTCAAGGAACAGTTTTGCTCACCTTCGGTCATAAATTTGTCCATATACTGGGTGAAACGTTGTAATAAGAGAAGTTTCTTCTGCAGAGCGGTCGGGACGTCCTCTTCCTTTTGAAATCTGGTCACTTCGTCCTCCGTCGTCACGTATTCCACTCTTCTTTGCAAACGAATACATTTATCTTTAAATTATCTCTTCACTGAAACTTCTTGCAGTCAACATAAATACATATGTATACAAACATGTGTATACGAACCTTCTGTCGTGCGTATAGCTGATCTTCGTGTGATCGTTAAACAGGATGCCGACCGATCTGTCGGACAGCTGGAAGCCCAGCCCGTATTTATTCGAGTAGTCGATCCACTTGGTGATGAACAGAGGCACGAGATCCTTCACGGGCGGATGATTACGTAATTTATTCTTGCACTTGATCCCGTTTATACAATTCTCTAGCGCCCGGTGCATCTGCATGCTTTGAGCTGCGTAGCCGGTCTTCTTTTGATCCGGACAGAGAACGCTGCTCAGTCGTTGACGGAACTTGGGCACCTTGCGGAGCTTTCTGGTCAGCCAACTGATCACCTTCGACGGGCCCTTGCGTAAACTCTTCTCTGAAACGTTTCCTCGATGCTGGTCCTGTTGAGATCGTTGCAGCGTGTGCACCTGTAATCGTTTCGTCAACCAATAAGTTTAGTCATCGTCGGAAAACCGAATCAAGCTCTCTCAGGCTCAACGGTACCTGAACGTTATTAAGTTTCTGATTGGCGGAAGCACTGGAGTCGAACGACGGTGAGGAGACTTGGTTCTCTACCAGAGTGGTCTGAGGCACTTGGAAGCAAGACGTACGGGGCAATGATTCTGGCACATACTCTTCGGTGAGGTAGGGATGCTCCTTGACCTTCTCCAAACTGGGCCTTAACTCCGGATTCGGTTGCAGGAGCCATCTATTTACAGGGACGGTTAAATACTTGATCAATTCTAATTAACATTCTTCAACACACCTAATTAAATCTTGGCCGTTGCGACTGGCCATCGTCCCGTCCACCTCCCGGTAATGATTGCTGCATATCCTAGCGTAAGTCTCTTTCAGAGTTGCCGTGTCGAAGGGCGGCTGGCCCACCAGTAACGCATATAAAATACATCCTAACGCCCAGACGTCTGCTTCGTAGCTGTAAGCTTGTTTGTACAACACTTCTGGCGCTATATAATTAGGCGTTCCGCAGATAGTCCTATAAAGTACGAGCGTGTTTTCATTTAAATCAGAATCGGATTTATGCTCGAAACTTACACGCGTCTGCACTGGCCGTCGAGTCTGGTCGCCAACCCGAAGTCGCCGACCTTGACGATCATCTGTTCCGACAGGAACATATTGCCTGGCTTCAAATCCCGATGCACGACCCTTTGCGAGTGGATATACGCGACTCCGGTTACCATTTGCTTCATGTAATATCTGGCCTCCGGCTCCGTGACCTTACCCCGATACTTCAGCACGTGCATCAGACTCTGCTTAGTTAGGAACAGAATAGAACTTATAGCGCTGCCATTATACGTATATAGGTCGAGTCAATAAGAATTGTTATTTAAAACAAGGGAAAACGGATTAATCGAATAGATTCTAAATATGAGACAATCAAACCTTTCGAGGACAAGCCTCCATGAGCATGTAAACGTTGAGATTGTCCTCGAAGTAGTGATGCAGCTGAACGACGTTCACGTGGTTCAGTTCCTTATGGATCATGATCTCGCGAGCGATCTACGATTAACGGATCATTAATAGCAGCGTGTCCCTGATTGATTTTACTTATAATCTTGCAACAGACGAACCTTTTGCATGTGAATCTTTTGCATACGATTCTTCCGAATGATTTTACAAGCATATTCGTTCCCATTCGTGACGTCCGTCATCAGAAACACTTTCGCAAACCCTCCCTGTGGAATATAATAAAATTCGAATGATCGTGTAATAAATATATGAGAAGAGAAAAACGATAGAGGGTAAGGGAAAAAGTAATAGAATTTGTTCGGAATCATTCTTCGACTTGGAATATTCATGTCAGTGACACTGCTGCACGTATGTAGTATGTGTAAGCACCAGGATGAGTTCAACGGATGAGCCTCTTCCTCTCGTTTCTCTCTCGCTCTTCTTCGTTCCTTTCTCGATCTCGCCAACTTCCTTTTTCTGTTCATTTTCCCTTCACGCGCGTGCATATAACGTATGGAAGTTCTCATCGTTTTCTATGCGAGACCTGGCTCTCCCCGCTATTAATTTCATTTCATAGACTTCCCTGGGAAAAGTCGTTTTCCCCGGTTTAAATAGAATACAAAGGCCGTGATCGTCGCAATTTAAATTCCATTGCAAGTTCTACGCGTTTCAATATATATGTATATACGAAGCATAGCGAAAGTATTCAGGCTTTATTGTCCGCAGTAAATTCATTTTCATACATTATTAACCTGTTAATTGCGGAATTTAGTTTTAAAAATCCCGCGCAAAGTGCGTGATTTTAATCGATTAAAATCAAGCAATGACACATTGGACGCAGGTCCTATTACAAATTTTACGAAAAACTAGGAAGGCTTACATTGTATTTTTTATTTTGTAATTTTTTATTTTACACGACGTGTATAAGTACACGTCGAGCGCACCTATTAGGTAGTGGTTAAACATTCACAGTGATAGTTGAAGGGTAACAAAGTGAAGTGAGGCAAAGCTGATGCGGTGAACGAGATTGTTAACAAAAATTTGACGAAATGTCAGCCACATGGAATTTATGATAACCCTAACGGTGACGTTTGCTTTGTGCTTCTTCGTGTATCTGTTAAAAAAAGTAAAAGGCATGAAACACAAGAAGGGATGCGGCTGTAAAAGAATGTAGCGACAGAAATAGCTGAATTGATTTAATCTCGCAAACAACCCCTGCCACTATCAATAGTTCAGGTATACATAACACGATCCTTCGATAGCGTGTCCGAGTTTCTACTATTTTTAGATGTCATCCGTTTTTAAGATCCATGGATCGATCTAAATTCCGAAGAGAAAACAATAGAAATTGTAGGTAAAAGGGTAACTTCTTTCATCTCAACGTGTACACATGCGAACAGATGCAGATTGAGTTTGTCTCTCTATAAAAGTTGTCTCGTCAAGCGGAATTGGATTATAAGGACTGATTTAAAATCGGTCTAATTCGATCGACTGACTTCAACAGTTGCATAATAATGAGAAGCTTATAAAAGAATACATGTTCGAAATAAAAAAAAAGTGATCTGATTGGACAGTAATTGACGCGTGGCGGTGCGCTTCCGATATTTTTGGAATCTACGTTTGCCAAATGTCGCGGGATCACTATGCCACAAGGAGAGATCGTTTTACATGGTACGCGAACTTAAAACTTGTTATTTATACAGAAGAATTCGAAGCGGGAGCACAGAAACAAAGTATCTACCATGCATTGTACGTTGTACATACATCTTTCTACGCCCTGAATACTGATTAAACCAGCTGTCAATATTATTGACAACATCTGTGGCATCGACAATAGGACAGCAAAATATGTGTATTAACGTTTTCGTTCGATATTGACTGCACACGACCGATAGATATACTTATATTTGAATTTTCTCTTACCTTTCCCAAGAGCTGGCCTTTGTAATAAGCATTCCCGTGCACAGGATCCACCACGTAATCTAGCTCCTCCTCGGGCGAATTGTTCCAAGAAGAAGACGTCGAGGGTCCAGCAGCAGCAGTTATCACACTAGCAGTCCTCGTGGACGATCCCGTGTTAATCCGGCTTCCACTGACCGAGCAGGTGACACTGTTCCCTGTACCCGTCGTCGCGAGATTCGTCGACGAGGAAACATCTTTGTTTTCGCCCCTCGACGAGTAGACGAGCGTGGAGGTGCGCGTGCACGTTTCCTCTTGTTTCTGCTCAGGGTATAACGAATACGCGGAGAGATCCGCGTCCAACGGTAACGAAGATTGAGCGTGTCTTCGACTTCTGCGTCGAACCAGACTCTGCAGAGACGAACCCTTGGAGAAGCTGCGACGATCGTTCGGAAACTTGGAACCCGTTTTCACAGGGATCTTTTCGTTGCTGTCTTCCCGATAGACAGGCCTCCCGTACTTAGCCTTGACTTCATCTTCCTGGTACCGAGCGACGACTTCCGTTTCCGCGAAACGGCAAGACTCATCGGGCAGGAACCCCTTATCGTACCTCGACGGAGGTGACGAGGCTTCCGCCTCAATCGCGTTTGAAGGCAGCATCTCCTCTACATAGTTTCACGTATCTATACTTGGCGATAAGAGATTCTCTCGAGATTCTGTTGCCTTTTAATTATTTGCCGCACTAGCTGGAACAACAGTTCCCCTTTCCCGATTCTTTCGCTACCATCAGCTTCCGAGCCAGCATCTCTCCAGACGTCATGTTACCACATTCGATTTTCTTACACACAGAACGCCTACGCGTCTCTCACACACACGTGCACTCCGTTCCAAATGAGATCGTTCGACAGCCTATACGATGATTGAAATATTCTAGAGAAATTCTAGATTATCACAGGACGAAGAGAGAATGTAGGCACGAATTTCGGTCGAGATTGAGAGAAGAGATAAACGTCACTGACAGTGTTCTCGCTTTATCACAGATCAGAGAGCGACGCGACCATCCGAGCCATCCGAACGGTCGGGTCGACACTATTCCAATTCCATCCATTCCCGTTTTACTTTGACTTTGAATCGGAATCTCTGTCTACAGGAGGAGGTGGTACATTAAGCCGCGTTCACATAAATCATGTTTTTTCGAGCTTGAGGTTACATGGCTCACGGTATATAATAATACAATAGATTCTTTCTTAAAATATTATTATATAATTACATATAAAATACATATAATATAAATATTATAATTCTTATAATATTATATAATATCTGTAATTCATTAATTAATACGCTACTGCATTGACGTGTTTTGTAACTTAGATTAAAGTCAGAGGCACAAACAATACTACAAAAGTGGAGAAACAGAAGAAAAGAAATCGTTATCAATAATACGATTCGTAATTCTTATGACTAATAAACTATAAAGGGTTTGTATAGGATCAAATCGTTTAATTCTATGATTGCATTTTCATAATCAGACTTAAACTTATTCTCTTCTATCGATGTTACCATAATTCTGTTTAAATTAGACAACAATTGTCATCTCTTTTACGTATAAATGTGTATAAAAATGTTTTTTTTCCTCGTAAATATTCATTACAAAAGTAAGCTTATGCGCGCTTATTAAATTGTACACGGTCGATCGTTGGTCGACTCTCTTTAAAATACATAATTTAAATAAAATTAGAGAAGTCCGTTACTTTGTACTTTCGCGGGCAATACTTAGCAATGTTTCTCTCCGACCAAAGTAGAATATTTTAAAATTGCATTGATGAGGGAAAGCTACAAAAATATTAAAAATAAAGAAGAAAAATTATAATCATAAGTTCTCATTAGTAAACTCTAACTGTGTTTTCCTATTTCGTAAATAATTAAATTACGTGGAACCGTTCTTCTGTGCCTGTAGCTTCCTTCTCTCCAGGAACAGATGCTTCATGTCGGCCAACGCTTTCTCTATCTGTTTTGCAAATCTGGCAGCATTCTGAAAGCCCGACAACGAATCGTGTAATGAACAGAAATCATATAAGACTGAATTGAACGATTACCGTTTGGGGAGAACTAAGTTTGCATGAAATGTGGAAGAACAGAAGATCCTCGCCAGCGATAATGTAAGAAACACCGTATCCGTCGTCAGCTACAGGGCCGAAACCACCTCCGGCGGAGATGCAATTCGGATACTTCTTAAAATTAATCCAGGAAGTCTGTCCGTGCGGAGTCTGCGAGGTGGATAACTTCCACGGTTCGCTGAGAACTTCCTTCAGGAACGGTGAGTCCACTTCTAGATATTTCGAGACTACGTACAAACAGAACAAGTGTCTGTCTATTCCTTTGCCACACATCGCGTTCTGATAGCCCTTCTGGTGCTGCTTCACCGCTGCCATGAATAAATTGTACTTAGTCTCTATCTGGAAACGGCAAGTAGTTCATTTAGTGCTTTTTATCCACTTTTTATCCGCTTTTAACCACTTATTTTATTTCTTTGTGAAACGTACATCTGCATCATCGCTGTCTATCGCCATGACCCATTTTCTTGACTCAATCGTACAAGGTCGCACGGTCTCTGTTCTCCCCTCGCGGAACAATCTGGTCATCGATGCCTCGTAAGTCAAGCTGAATTTGCCGGCGTCCCTGTAATAAGCCAACTGCAGGGCCATTTGTATGTAAGCGTCGGGCGATATAGAATTCTGTTTCATGAATCCTTTGCCGTAGGCGTCGTGCACATAAATCCGCAACTCGACGTCGTTTAATAATCTTTGAGCTACCTGTTCGCAAAACAAGTTTTTAGTACAATCGCTTTTATGGTGTATTTTCTATATCTTTATCGTTCGTTACTTGATTCGATTGCTCGATAGCAGCTATGCAACTCTCGTTCATGTCCCATTGAAGTCTGACTGGAGCTGGCGGCGTGAACTCTGGTTCCCCTTTAACGTGTCCGTCCTCTTTAAATCTACAATTTGAATGCAGCTTTCAAGTCATTTAACTATGACAACGAGCCAAGTGTTATTGTGAAGCACACACGTTAATACATTACATATAAGGGTTAGTTAGTTCTTAACGAAGGAAGTTCTGTGAAAAAAGAAAGCCGTAGACAGTTAGAGAATGGAAAGAAATAACATTTGAAATTACCCCGTCTCCATCTCATTAGCGATACAATACTCCCATAGAGATCCCATAATAGGAGCATCAGCCCTACCAAGCACATTTTAAAAAAAATTATTTTTCACAAACAGTATATAATTTTTATAAACAATGGCAATCTCTGTCAATTAACAGAATCATTGAATAGATACATGGATGTAAATAATGGTATGTACCTATTAGGTGAAGAAAACAAAGAGAATGAAAATTAAAAGTCCCTCAACCAGCTTCCACCAATTATTACCGATTATCATGATATAGCCAATTACCAATGATTATTGTTATACGTATGCCCAGTTCTGGCTTTAATTCGATAAATTATAAACTGTAAATGGCAAATTTTAGATAAAGAAAGCGGAAAAAAAAAAAAAGAAAAAGTCATCGTGGCAGCTACCTTAAAATTGATCATTTTTCTTACTCTATAGACTTGTTGGTTTCCTGCGCTATCACGTATTCCCACACGTGTGACATCACCGCGGCATCGGCCCTGCTCATTTCTTTTTTATTATGCATCGATACAATTAACAATTTTATAATTTTTATATCTAAGAACTGATTTAATATCAATAAACGATGGATACCCGATAATAACAATTATTTTAAGTGACTGACCTAAAGTAAAATCTGCTACAGTAGTAGTTGACGTTTAAACAAATGAAACAGCGTATTCCCCTTTCCCCCAAAACTACTTTACTTTAAGATAAGAACTCACCACGAATGTTCCGCATTGAAACCCACCTAGAAAATTCAATAACAATAATGATAGATAAACAAGTACTTTATATCTTTCACAATATATTAATACTACTTACTCGGCCGTTGTTGCCAATGCACAGAGTGAAAGACTTGTCGAACCAACGATCGTATCCTTTGCCGTGCAATAAAATTCGACCGTACTCGTCCAATTTGCTTGGGTTTTCCTAATGAAATCGAAACTGTAATTCGTATTGTTCTTTGCACATTGTATTACATTGTTTATATTACCGGATCATAAACGTAAGGCATATCGTCCAACGCCACTACGAAAGCTGCTTTTTCGATCAGGTCTAAGGAAGCTTTGTTCACACCCTTAGAAAAGAATTCTTCCCTAGCTATTGCCCACGCCGTCCTCTCTCCAGCAGTTAGAGCAGCCAATTTCTCTTCTCCTTCGGCTGGTTCCGATACGTCATTTAATATCTGTTGCATTTGCCTGAAAAAGGCAATTTGCATTTTTTAATAAACATGAAACGAGTAAAGGTCGTGATTTAAGGATGTATGTGTCTATACAGTCAATCCCAAAAGTTTATGCACTTTAGAAACGCATTTTTTTTAAAAGAAATCAGACGTCGGAAGAACATTACTAATAATAAANTAATTGGATATTTCCTTCTATAGTTTTTAGCACGTAGCTATTTATTATTAGCATTATTCTTCCGACATCTGATTTCTTTTTAATTATAGGAAATGCGTTTTTCTAAGGTACATAAACTTCTTGGATTGACTGTATAGCCAATAGATCCTTAAGTGATGCAACTTACATCTCGATTTCGCAAGGTTGAAGGATTCGATTCTTGTAATAAATCAGAACCTTGAAGTATCTTCCCTTGTGATAAACGACGATGTGCTTGGAGTCCTGGTAATGTACTATCTTGTCTGTCTCGCGGCCGGGAGTTCTCGTGGTATTGAATACTCTCTCGTACTGCCAAGAGCAAAGCGGCACCAGTCCTTGAATCAATATCTGAAAATAAAATATAAACAGAATATCGTTACTTGGTCGGATATATTTGAATTTGTTTTAAACTCACCGGTTCCAGTTCCTGCCTTTCGATGAATCTTCTAAACTGAAGACAAGAATAGACAATGCTTGCCGCACGGGCGCTTTGTATCTTGCTAGGATGCATGAGAATAGCATCTATTCCGTAAAAGTTGGAGTTGACCATGATCGGGGACCTTCCACGTAAATAGACGTACTCCTCCCACCAGTCTGAGACGTAATTGGTAGCCCACCAAGATTTTAATATCAGATAACGCTGGAGCTTGATGCCGATTCCATTCTGAAATTCGTTCGCCAGTCTCTCCATCCGCGCATAGTTCTCGTCATCCAGCAATGGCCTGACGCTTCTTAAATACTAAAGAAATAAAGAATTAACACGTAAAGATTAAACTATCAGAACGCTGCTCTAGATCCTTGTCTATCGTATTAATGATGACTAACCCGTTTCATGGTATCCTCGACTGAAGGTAATGGTAATCTGGGCAGAGAACCTTGAAAACTGTACAGCATAGGTTTGTGCCATCCGAAGAATAGTTTCACCACCGTGGTCCACAGTTTCGTGATCTTCGAAGGGGTGGCACCCTTCTCCCTAGACTCGTACATCCACCCTTTGTACATCAGCAACAATTTCAACATGTACCGTATCGCGTATATTACGACCAACCATAAAAACAATCCTACTATAACCGATCCAGCCAAATGTGCCAAAATTGAGGACCTGGGGATCAATAAAAATGTTTCAAAAGTGTTCTATATTTCATATCTCTCGTCGAAACAATGTGACGAAACTTACGCGAAGAGGTACGGTACAGTTATTCCAACAAGATCATAAGGAACCTTGTAGCCAGCGAAATGTATAGCCGTGACCACAGCTATGGTGAGCCATAAGCTTTCTAAGGAAGCCGGATACACTCCGCTCCTCAGATTGTTCTAAAATTATTTTAATGCATTTTTAAATCCATACAAATTGCAAACATAATTTTATAACGGACAATCAGTCATGATCGATATCATTTTCCGTATGACTTGACCCAGTCAAATTTTGACTCGATGGTTGAACAATACACTTACAACAAATCGGAAGAATCTTTTCTTCCAGGAACGTATACCCGATTCCCATACTAAGTGCAATACTTCTCTGTCGAAGTTAACGTCCCATCCTTCGTGAGTGATAGAAAAACTAAATGCTACGGCTGAATGTGCTTCCGCCATATCATCTGTTACGTATTTTACTTAACTCTGTAACACTGTAATTAACAATATTTAGATGAAAGTTTCATTCACCAAGGAAGTAAAGATTTAATCAATTGTTAGATTAGTGCATTTTGTGAAATATTATTCTATTATCGTCTTGCGCATTAGGTGCAATTAACGATCAGAAGAAAGCATTGAAAAACAAGGATAACGCGTCTACTTTTAGATCGCAACAATTACAGCTAGCAAGTAGTGGTAAGTAGTTACACACAATAGTTAGTATAGTATAGAGTTGTTGGAAGTATTATATAACCTTGGACTTTGTACGATGCTCGTCGTGCGGCTGGAATAGTGGCAATAATTTTAGCAAATAATTACTTCGTCTCGGTGGACATTCTAAGCTTCAAGTATCGTGTAGTACAACTCATGCATACGTTTCCCAACGCTTACTTATTGGTAACTTCCAACGAACGTTTAATAAAATATTTCAAACGGTCTCAAGATTACTGCCATGATTTTAATTGCTGAATTTGAATTAAATTATCAATTGACGTAAATATGCAATTGCTCTTTTGCACCTTGAATCTAAAACACGACTTCGTCTTGTTTGAAATTGATTTTTTCCATTGAATATCTCATCGATAAATGAATTGCAAATGCGTTATTGACACGATGATAATCATGCATCATGCTGATATTTCAATATGGTAAACAAAAATAAAATTTATAAACACGGTCTCTAATTTATAATGTTGTCATGTTTAATTATGTTGCATTAATTATCAAAGAGTAATTCTAATCTTGCAATTACGAATGATGATGTTTTATTCACGAGGTATACTATTCGTCAAAAGATAGAAAGCAGAGTTCTCCCGTGTGAAATTAATGATGAAGTTAGGGCTAGACTATGGAATAAGAAATGGGTTTTTAAGAAAGACAAATACGGGGGGCATATGTTTCTGCCGAAAGGAACTCTCTCTCGGTGGTAAAGAAAGAAAGAAAGAAAGAAAGAAACAGCTTGTGTACACCTTCGCTTTTGGGTCTTGTCTCATTCTACGTATATCATTTACATACGCAGACTTTAATATATGTAGTACTGTATACATATAAATAAAGTGGAAGTCAAAGGTTATTAGCCTTAAGAAGGCCAGCTACGATTGGTAGAAATAAAGGGTGTGCGCAGTCGAGCCTCCCACTTTGGATTTTTACCAAGCAAATAAGTAGGCCAAAATAATCTGCGCGCGTGTATATGTTACCGTTCGTGAGTGCACAACAAGCCTAGGTATATTAATAGTCGTCGCTATTTACAGATGAAGCAATCATTGGAAAGAAACGTTACCTAGTTTGGTAGACACTCGTTTAGACACACGTTTAACGGTTGAACAAAGAAAATATCACAAACACAGCCGCGAAAGTATACGGTCAAATCTTTTTTGCAGCAAGCCAACAACCACACAGCGTGCGAACACGACGCCACGACCGTCACTGTGCGTCACTGCGATGCGATTTCTTTCAATTTCTTTTGATACTCTCGACTCACTCCCACTCTGTTCTTGCTATACTAACAGCTACAGCTACTAGCTATTACTGACCACTACAACAGAGTCCTCTGCACATTAACACGAAGCACAGGGATTGGAAAACGGAATACAGTAAAATAAAATTTTCATATTTATTTACAAAAATCAGATTCTTTACAATATACATGCTCAAGAAGAACCTCTTCTTTTGTCGACTGATTCCAGTACAGATCTACGACATATGAAACGTGTCAATAACTTGGTTTTACCAAAAGAAAAGAGAACTTACAAGTTTGAACATAACAAGTCCAAATCCTGCGGCATAGAATACCGCACGCTCGCGTGTAAATCAATGAACGGATCGTCGTCAGCTACCAAATTGTCGAACTCTTCAAGTCTACGAACATAAGATCCATGAAAATGTATTCATTGAGATTGTTACAATGTATACATTGAAAAAATATAATCTTACATATTTTAATTGAAGTGATGAGGCATATAATTAATTTAAGATGATTCGCAGTTGCATAGGGATGGAGAGACAGGTGTTAAAATGAAGAGATGAAATGTAATTTGAAAACATCTCTACTGTAACGTGTCTTCTTATTGTTAGCAAAAGCAGTTCTCTCGTTCCTTATTAGTCTTGAATATTTACATAAAGCAGTGGATGAAATTCGTATTACATAGAACTGGAAAGCTCTTGTATACCAACCGTACGATAAAGTGTTTAATCTCGCACGGTGTCGATCGTTCAACGTCCCATTTGGATAAATTAAAAATCATGGGGAACACTGCATCCCGAAAATCACCGATCTCTACATTCCTCGACTCATATTTTTTTCCGATTAATAAACGTGTTGCTGGCACGTCGATCCAAATTACTCGACACTTGTCTCGAAGCATCTCGGAAAACCATTCGGAAGGACCGATTCTGGCCACATGATTCCACTCTGCACCGTTGTGCCAATCGCGTATCTGTAACGAATAAAAATGAAAACGAACGAGGGAATCTACAGTTTCAATAGGAAATTCACTCACGATGCAATGGCAAGCCTCGCAAAGCATTGTTCGAAAATCAGACATCGTATTCATGAATTTTTTAGAACCTTTTGGATATACCAAAACAATATTTCTATTCACAACATTTTCTGTCAAGGCAGCCGACTCTGCGATCGTACGGGCTACCCAATCGTTTTCATAAAACGCTTTTCCTCGTTTTATACAAAACCAACTGATGTAAAGAAAATATATTATTCCAATGATTGAAAGTATGATCGCTACGATGTATTTCATACTGTTCCATTGATTATCGTGATTGAGTGAAATTTGTTCTTCGTTATGTCTGCACTCTGTAAAATTAATAATATCATTTATCAACATTGTTTATGCAGTATTGCTACTCAATTACATTACTTGTATAGTAGATACAGTCGGAATTGGGTTGCTTCCACACTCTGGTCTCCCAACACCTTATATCCCGACGCAGAATTATTTTAAAACGATATGGCCATTTTTCATAATTCGAAGTTTTATAAGAATCAAAGTCTTTGACGTACCTCGTTATCTGAACATTAACAGACAAAGAGAAGTAATTGGAATAGAAGTTACTTAATTAAGAGAAGACTCACCAAAGTTTTGTTATACGTATCATAATACTCAGTTCCTAAATATTTATTCTACAAAATAAATTGCTAAGTTAGAAGCAGTAAATATGAATAATATTGAATTATAAAGAAACCTGTTAATAATATGACAGGGTTCTATTATCTTATAATTAAGAACTACCAGAACATCGAACTTCGATGTGAAATTATTGAAGGTTTCATACTTCTCGGAGATGTTCCTCGTTAATCTTATTTCTGCTTCTGTGACTACAGGCAATGTCAAATTCACCCGAAACCGCAATACTGTACTGCATAATTAAAATTTATGTACCAGTTTTATCTACAAATGTTTATAACATTTTTTGGAAATCTTGGTATCTTACTTATTCTCATGATTAATGACATAGTATACACAGTCAGCACGTGGTTCTGTTAATTCTGTTTTTTTATAATTAGTTTCCAAGAACTTATTATTACCTTCCATCCATTCATACGAGTTATTGAAGTAAAATTGCACTTTGTAACAGGCTGTAAATATATATGGGATAAGTACCTGAGTTTCATTCTGGAAAAGAGAGATCTTCAGTAATTTCATTTACCTCATTACATAAACCTTGTATCATACCTTGTATTGTTTTTCATCAGAAATGAAACATATCGAAAATTTACTATGTATTTCATTTCTATAACTGTTGAATTTATAATTTGTACATTCCTTTTTGTTAAGCATTTCCTTCGCATACAGTGTCATATCATATTTGCACTTAGTCTTCGGTGGTTTTATGCCAAGTCCCACAATGGCTATAAAAATCATTTTATGTAAATGCCTTGTACTTATAATTTGATTGCTAACACCCAAGTGTAAACTGTTCTTTACCAGGAAATTCAGACATGTTACTGCCACGTTCTATTAGCGAGAAGCTAACATCGGTGGAGGTATTATTTGTACAATATTCCTCAATTGAGATATTAAGATTCTTTATGGATCTTTTACAACCATTAAAATCGCAAACATACTACAAACAAATCGTCAGTGAATTAAACATATACAAACATCGGTGTATTATATTCTTTTGAACTCAGTACTCACATCACATGTGGTGGAACACTGTAAAATAGATAAGCATAAATGCTGAATTGTGATAAATAATACACCTTCCGCATAACCCTTGGACATAGTCAGCTTATAGAAATTATTTCTCTTAAAAACAGAGTAGCTTGTAACTTTCCCTCCGTATTTACATGAACAAAATTATCTCTGATTATCTCCTGAACAACAGATATTTCTTCGGGCGAGTTTCTCTCTGGTATCTCTGGTATCCTGTATCTGACACTGACGGATACCAGGATAATGTGAGACATTATGCCACCAGATGACACTTGAATCGCAATTTTTAGAAAAATGCGTTTGTTCACGTTTGTTTCTATGCGTCTCTAAAAATAACGGTATAAAAGTGTAGACATACTGTGAAGTGAATTATTATTTAGATTGAACAAATACAGGAAGCACCATGTTTCTACCTCTGCGTGCAATTCGTTCAATTTCTGTGAGTAATTAATCGTTGTTGGCACAGTTCTAACATTGTGACATCATAACCTCTTCAACAATATTATGTAACTTCATTTACTTTTAATCTTATATATTTACATGAGTTTAATAAATACTTCACAAGTTCAATTTATGAATATTATTTACACTTTCTCATATTTTCTTATCATACCCTATTGTTGTAAATTTGTGATGAACTAAAAACTGAGACATTAACATATATATAAGATGAACATTCTTCCCGTTACTTCTTTCTATTTTGGCTCTATCTACAACTTTTCTTTCTAATTGTAAAATATGTTTCAACTACATTTGAATTAATTTTAATTTGTCGTCTTTTCCAAAATAGGGTTGCAAGAATGTTAGGGGATTGCAAACATCGACTGTTCGTGTTTCAGATCAACTATTTGTGGTATGTATCATTATCTGTTTAATTAAAATGATGACTTTTTGTTAAATTTCTTCTAGTTCTGAGAGCACAAATAAGTTTTCTAATTCAATACAATGTAACACCAACAATACTGTTAATTTTAATGCAAAGTAAGAGATTTATCGTAGTTAGTTAAGGATTAATTACATTTCAGATTATAATTCTTTTATTATTTATTTTTTATATTTCGTATTTTGTGCATCACATACTGCATTTCTATTTTTCATTACTTCATAAATCCATAAAATCCACCATCTATTGATCACTTAAAAATTCGATAAGCGTACACTTGAAGAACTTTTCTTTTGTGTAATATTACCATAATATGAAATTTTATAATTTACAATCTAGAAATGGTAATATATGCATATTACAATTTATAAATACAGTACTATAAATATCTAGACATACAGTATAATTCACGAAGATAGAACCAATCGTATTAAGAATTACATTAGGTGGTCTTGTATTTATTCAGTTTTAATTGCACAATTGGTTAATTCCTCTATTATTGACACATCATTAATATAGTAAGAAATATATAATACGCATAATATAAGAATACTTTAATGAAAAAGCGAACGAATACTTTAACGAAAATATCTAGTTTAATTACATCTGTATTTATTCTTTGTACAAAATTGATATTCTAATATCTGTATATCATTAATTCTTCGCGAATAATCAATCAATATCTTAAACAGCATAGGGACAGCGCAGCGGACAATCCCAACATCCCATTTGAATTCAATGAGGCCAACAAGAAACGTATTGAAGCTTTATTAAAAATCTACCCTGAAGGTCATAAACGTGGAGCTATGATACCTTTATTGGATCTAGCCCAGCGTCAGCATGGATGGCTACCGATTTCAGCTATGCATAAGGTTGCCGAAATTCTAAACCTACCTCGAATGAGAGTGTACGAAGTGGCCACGTTCTACACGATGTTTAATAGGAGGCCCATGGGGAAGTATCACGTGCAAATCTGTACCTGTACTCCCTGTTGGCTGAGAGATTCCGATTCTATAGTGGATGCAGTAACGAAAGCGACGAATTGTAAAATCGGAGAGATGTCGGAGGATAAATTGTTCACAATTTCCGAGGTAGAATGCCTGGGAGCCTGCGCCAATGCGCCTATGTTTCAAGTCAATGATGATTACTACGTGAGTGTATCATTATATCAGAACTAAAAGAAAAAAAGAAAAATTAATCCTATACAGAATTAAAATAATTGTTTTTAACGATTGTTTTGTTGTTTTACGATCATTTATTTTCGAGTGATCATCTTTCAAACTAGGGCAATTTTCGACGTGACCTTCTTGATGCATGATTTTTTTTAGTAGCGTATATTACTCAAGATAAGACTTAAAGACAAACAGCTACAAATACAAAACTTTTTTTCAAAGAAGTAAAAGGTAATAAGATGACGTCGATATAATTGTTACAGGAAGATTTGACTGCCGAAAGTGCAACATCTATAATAAACGCGTTGAAGAAAGGCGAAAGGCCGCCACCAGGCCCACAGAAAGCTCCTAGATTCGCAGCAGACCCGGCTGGCGGATTGACGTCATTAACATCACCACCTCCGGGACCTGGATTCGGTGTCAGATCCGATCTATAACATAATTATAAATGATCCATGTTTAGTTTGTAAGTTCTAGTACTGGTGATATTAAATGTATAAATCAAATCTGTAATCTTATTTAAACAGATACAATTGAATCTCTCTTGATTGATTGATTCTACCCCTAATGATTTATTTATAATTAACTGGTTCACTTATTTTGTAATATTAGAGAAAATATTATGTTTCATCAGCTATAACAGTACTCTGATGTACTGAGATTAAAATGTATTATAAAGGACTTTCTTGAACAATTCTTTCCTTCGCATATATGTAACTAAATTTACTTTCCAAGATATTAGGTTGTAACTGGTGTTCCAGCTAAAGGATTAAATCTTTAATTCATTTGAACATCAATTGGCAATTAACGTTTAGTTTTTTATTCGAGTTTAAGTAATTAAGGATTAGAATCATTTAATTAGTTTGATTGAAAGAAATTCGAGTTAACAATGGCATTTTAATTTTTAAATAAAATACACTCCAATTCTCGTTAATTGTTAACGTAGCAGTTAAAACATCTGTAATCCATATTCTGACATTAAATGATACAAGATCAAGGAAAGATTGTATTTGAATTTCTGTCAGTGTCACTCATTTTTAGTGTAATTAAGTAAGTCAATTCGTTCTAGAAAGCTTAATAGAACCACATTTTGTACATTTAATATGATTGCATATGTATAGGTGTAGAATTGCGCCTTCATATGTATAACGCATTTGTTTCCCCATTTGTTATGCGAATATATGTATGATTAAACAGATATTAAAATATTGTATTCTTTATTATCAAGAGACAAACGATTTTATGCTGTTTATAATTTTTTTACTCTTCGTTATTAAACGTGTGTACCAATATAATCCACATAAATGAATTCGTCATGTCGCAATATACAGCTTGAATTATATAGGAACATACAGATTCATTTGCTCTTTAGAACGACACCTTTGCTTTGGAGGTCTCTCTTAGCTTCCTCTATTTCCTATAAAAAAATGTATACGTTTTACAAGTTTTCTTACGAATTGTCACCAAATGTATATTCATTTTGGAACTTACTTCTTGTAATTCTACAGCAGCACTTTCACAATTATTGAACGTGAAAACTCTATATAAAATGACAATAGCTGAATACAGTCCAAATAACAATAAAACAATGAATGGAAGAACAAGGATGATTCCTCTTAATTCTATAATGAAAGACAAATTAATGCTTTCTGTAATTGCAGTGATCCATATGCTAAAGAATAAAGTAGCAAATAAGAGCCACTCCAATAGTTTAGTCATCTGAAATTTAAGATATATCGTTTTTATTGAAATTTGTTATGATCACATGAGATAGAAA